AAGAGATGATGTAACACTTTAACCTAAATGCATAGTATAAATTAAGTACCAAGTACTTGTTAATTATTCATCTAATTAAAGAATGTAATAGTGCATATATGTAAGGAATTATGATATATTTTCATTATGATATATATCTACTTTAGTTTATTTATAGAGTTGAAGTATTAAAAATAATTTTAAAATGACTTTTAAGAAATCCCAAGAACTTCCACGGTTTATTACTTGTAGCAAATAAAATTAAATACTCAAACCTATCATGAGTCTACTTTTAGGCTGAAAAGTCAAATACTGGATGTATAATAAAATGAGAAATGCACCAAAATGATAGAATAACTTTTCTTTCTTTTTTTTTTCCAAAGATTTATTTATTTGTGCATACCAGAACTGGGGTACAGGGCAGAGGTGAGGGGGTGAGAGGATTCAGCAGAGACACAGTGGGGAACAGAACAGGCAGACTGACTGAAATACACTGCAGAGGGGAGCAGCGGGCGAGACAGGAGAGGTCTGCTGCACCATGTGGGCAGCTCCCTGGCCCACCCAGGATTGAACTCACAGTGCTGTGCTTAACCCCTTGCGCCACCAGGGAGGCCCAGATAACTTTTCAATGGCATGCCCACAGCCATAAATGTAGTTAAGAAGTCAAGCTGAATCATTATCTTTTCATTTGGGCAAAAATGACAACTTCTAGAGCATAAAATCCATTGATGTGAGCTTTATTTTGTAGGTAAAATCATAAAACCATACTGATCATAGATCTCTCCAATATTGTATTCTGAAAGCAAGTTGAGTTGTAGGATTCACTATTTTAGAGAACTATATTTGACCTCTATAATAGTGTGTGTGTGAAATACCATCAGACTGAAAAAAATCCAGATTTAAACTTTTACCCTCAAATAAGGATGGTTCTTTTGAAAGATAGATCTTTAAGATACCTGAATATCATCATTCAAGTTTGAAGGTGACAAAGCACTGTGGTATTTACAAATGTCAAAGAAACAGTTGTAACTAAAATTTTGGTAAACAAAGCTGTCTCATCACTATCAATGCATTTTTATTAATATTGTTAAAGAAACAGTAGTAAGAATAAAATATATTTTATGTTAAAGTTATGTGTAAAATTATCTACAGGAACTACTTTTCCATCACTTTTGTCTATTCCATAAAGAAGTTATTCTGGGGCCTCCCTGGTGGCGCAGCGGTTGAGCACTGGGTTGCGAAGCTGCCCGCAGCCTCTGCAGTGCCGGTTCAATCCCCGGCCACCGGCGAGGGTCCCACATGGCTCAACAGACCTCTCCTGTAGCACCCGCTACTTCCCTCAGCATGTATTTCGTCACTTTGCCTGCTCTGCTCTCCGCTCTAACTCTGGTGAATTCTCTCACCTTCCTGCGCTTCTGACTGTACCCGGGGCTTGTATAAATAAATAAATCTTTTTTTTTTTTTAAAGAAGTTATTCTGAGGGTCTCTCTTGTGGTGCAAGGGTTTAAGCACAGCACTGTGAAGCTGTCCACAGCCACTGCAGCACATGTTCGATCCCTGGGGGGGCCAAAGAGCTACCCACATGGCGCAGCAGAACTCTCCTGTCTCACCCGCTGCTCCCCTCAGCAGTTGATTTCAGTCAGTCTGCCTGTTCTGTTCCCCACTTGTCTCTGGTGAATCCTCTCATCCCAGTTCTTATATGCATAAATAAATAAATCTTTTTTAAAAATGTTATTATGGAGACATTTAAGTTTGTTCTATACTTGTCTCTCCATGAACTTGATTGATGTTAACACATAGTCAGGTGACCTTCCTGATATATATATATCAAGGAAATCTTCAAATTCAGCTTAATTTCCCCTCTTTGTAAGTTTTGATTCAGGTTACACACAAGTAATTTAATTATTTGAATATTTACTCAGGATATTCATTAAGAAAAATTTAAAAATACATTGAGAAAACTCCTAAAAAATATAGAATACATTGTGTGCTCTTAATGTACCAGTCTCATGATCCTTTCTTACTAACCATGATATTCATTGGTTACAAAGGAAATAAGAATAACAGCCCACAATATTCTAGGTTATTTTTGGAAGACTGAGAAATCTGAAACTGAAACTCTCTCCCTAAATACATTGCATTTTGAATGTTTTACATGTTAATACTAAATCTCACCTTTTGTGCCATAAAACCGCCACTATCTCTTTCCAATTGGAACACGCAGAAATTTCTGACCTCTAGCCCTCAAGGCATTCATGGTCTATTGAACTGAATTTTATTAACCCTTATTAAAGTACATATACCTCTCCTTTTCTATAGACATGCACATGTTGTCCAGAACAGCACTGACCAGCGGAAATGTCTGTGATGGAAATGATCTTTACCTACACTATGCAATAGAGAACCTACTAGCCACAGTAGCTACTGAGCCCTTCAAATATGGCTAGTGAGACTATGGAACTGAATTTTCTTTTGAAATATTTCTATTTGAATTTAATTTACTTGAAATTAAATGACCACATGAATTGGATTAGTATGGTGCAGTAGACCCTTGAAGCATTCAGAAAATTGTTGTTATGAGCAATTCAAGAATCTCAAATTATCAGCACTGTATTTTAAAAACCCTGTCATATATTCCTTCAGTGTGAATCTTACCAGAAGTTTCACATTTGAAAATAATAAAACTCAAACTAGCCAAATTCTTTAGGTTGCTTTTCTGTATGAATCATCTTTTTGCAAAGAGGTGTAAGACAGCTTTTATTGCCAGTTCTGCCCCCTCTTCTACAGACAGAACTCGGCGATTAGGTTCCTGCATTTATTTAGGTTATTCTTCTAAAAACATGGTTTCCATGCTGCAAATAAATGACAGGAACTTTTCCACTAAATTATCCCAGACAGCACAAATGTTCTTTCCCAAAGTGCAGACTGGCTCCACGGCCCCCTCACATTGCCTATTACATCTGTTTATGTGTATAGAAGTGACATCCACTTCATAGACAGAGAATGCCAATTTCTTGGGGAAGCACCCAGAATTTGGTGGAGATATAGGAAAAGAAAAAATTTCACTGTTCAAAATAAAAGATACTTACAACTGAGTAGCTAGGAAGTCCTTTTGAAATTAAGGGAGAAAGATTTTGCTCACAAAGCAAACTTTCTGGAGTCCCTATCTAGCCAAAATCATTTACTAGTTGATAAAGCTGTGGGTAAGTCACAAAACCTGAGCCTCCGTTTTCCCATCTGTAAAGTGAAGATAATAATAGTTCTGTTGGTTAAGCCTTGTGCATGACTTTGAAATGGGCAAAATTATTGGGTATTCTTCCACTGAAATGCTCAATGTTATCTACGGGGTTCTGGGGTTTTGTGGTTCTAGAGTAGCCTGCTCTTTTGAGTAGGCTATTTTACTAGCAGGCTGCTCCTTTGACTATTTTACTACTCTATAAACTATAGAAACTTGTAGTAATATAATTGTTCTTATCTACAGAGATGGATTTTTTTTGGTACCTTAGAGATACATTTGATTACTACCCTAGTAGTCAGATAATTCAAAATAGAATATTAAGCAATTTCGCCTCTTTCTTGTTTGTCCCTAAAAGTCTGTTCTTCATACTCTGATTTGAATAGGTTGCAATATCTTGCAGATTCGCTCCCTAATTAATGAGTTAAACAATATTTTGACAAATCTTTATTTATATTTTCTGTGAAAATCATGTATTCACGTTCTTAACAAATTATTCTTTGAGAATTTCTACTGAGTTTTGGAGGATCGGCTTAATGATCTATCTTGATGGTCATGCTTAGTTTTATACTTTGTGTTAAGGCTGCTACACTTCCGGTACTTAGGGAGGGGTGGTATAAAGAAGGGGTACTGAGCATTTATAAAAGGGTTGGGGGATGCTGAGAAACGCTTTCCTGACAACAAACTCAGAAGACCTCATTTCCTTTGAGCAATGGAGCCTTAAGGTCAAGGTGGGTGTCAGGTGGAACGAAGTGACCCAGATGGGGGGCCCACAAGGTCTTGGCCCTTCTGGAGAATGGCCCTGGATTTTGGATGCCCTGAGGTCATGGAGTTAATTGCAGGCTTTACGGGGTCCCGGAAGCAGGTAGCCCAATGAGCTAGTTCCCGCCAAACCAACACCCTGGTGGCGAGGCCGACCGGTCCCAGAAGGGCAGTTCTCGCCCCAGGCCTGAGAGGCCCCTCGCCCACGGCCAAGGGGGTGGGGCGGCCTCGCCCGGGGCCGGTGCTTTTCGCCCTCCGTTGGCCGCCAGAGGCTCCCTCTCTCTCCCTCTCCTGGGATTTTGCTGCCGGGCTCCCTCTCTCTGCGGCCCTTGAGTTAATCCCATCAGCCGAGGTGAGGCACCTGTTACCCTGGGCCTTCCTCACGCCCGCGGCCTCCCTCCCATAACACCCCGGCTCCCGGGCGGTTTGGCCCGGCGCGGGGGAGCGCACGTGGGCGAAGCCCCTCACCCCGGCGGGACCCCCCCGCCCCGAGGGCGGCCCGGCCCGGGTCGCCGCCCGCCCGCAATGGCGTTGGGGAGCGCAGCGCGCCTCCCGGGGCCGCCCGCCGCGGGCAGGGCGCGCGTGGGGGCCGCGGCGCGCGTGGAAGCCGCCGCCTCAGCCGCCCTCCGCGCTGCGCCGTGAGGAGCGGGCGGCGGGGCACCGAGCGGGCCGGCGCGGAGCCGAGCCGCGGCCACCGCGGGGCGGGGGGCGCCTCCGAGGAGGGGGTGGGAGCCGCGGCCGCCCGACCCTCCCCGCCGGCGGCGGCTCCCGCTCGGGTAAGGGGGGGCTGTGCACGGGGCGAGCAGTTGGGGAGGGTGCAGAGGAAAAAAATCGGGATGTACAAAGGCTGAGTTGCAGGCTGGGGGTGGGGGTGGGTTGTGGTGGAGGAGCGATAGGTTGGGGATCGGAGGCATTATCAGTGGGTTCTATTGTTTCCTGGCACATTGGGAGGAAAAACAAAGGGATTTATTATTATTACCCTGTCATTTTTTTTTCCTTTTCTTTTTTTAATGTGGCCAGGGAGCTCGGCTCTCCCCGTGCCACACTGGGATCCGCCTGGCAGCCACCGGGAGCCGCAGCCAATGTGTTAGGACTTCAGGTGCTTCTTGGCACAAAGCTAGACTGCGACCTCCTACCGTAGCGCTTGGCGTCACCTGCTCTCCCGGCCCTGCCCCGGGGCCGAGGGACTGCGTCCCGAACCAGGCTTGGGAATCGGCTGCCTCTCAAGTTGGTGTTATTTATGTTTGTCTTTTGTGAGGGCAGGTTTTGAATCCCCCGGCGGCCCCCTCGCCCCCGCCTCCGCCCCGCTCGGGTTCGAACTGGCGGGGGAGGGAGTGGGGGTGTGTGTAGGGGGGAGGGGAGGGTGTGTAAGGCTTAAAGAATGTCAGGGTAGAAGGAAATTGGCGATGCCTTACAGAAAAACAGGCACCACACTCTAAAGCCTTTCTTGTTTGTCTGCATGGGCCATGCATGCGTGCTGGGCCAGGAGCCGAGTTTGGAGCTGATTTCCGTGGAAGTGTGTGCTTCCTCAGCTGATGGTGCGTGAGGGTGCTGCGGCTCGGCCTAGTATTAAAAAACAAAACAAAAACAAAAGGGAAAATCCTTAGAACCCCAAGGTCTGCTGCTCAGCAGATCTCAAAGTCTTTGATTGCTGGCATGTTGGTATAAAATCCAGCTGTGGGCTACAGGAGACAGCAAGCATGCATTGCGTTGCATCTGGGGGCTGTAGTAAGTTCGAGGCAAGGAGGAATAAACAAGTCAGGGCTACAAAGAGAGGTTTCCTGGGCTGTTTACTCTCTTATGGTCACATCCTAATGTATTTATTCCCCTGGGAGTCTACATCTCGCTCTATAACGAAGACTATTCACTGTTAGGAAACTTCCAAATCTTTGAGATGACCGAACTTAGAGTGAAACTTAAAACCATTTAAGAACTTTCTTCTGCTTGTTTTGGTCTGAAACTGCATTAGCCTTACATTGGAGATGCTGTCAATGAGAGTTTTGGACCAAAAAGAGGGAAGTAAGCCTTTATAGGCATGTTTTGGAATTTGTAAACATAAGTTCCAAACTTTTCACCGTTCTAATACAGAAAAAATAAGGTCTATCTGACATGGAGAAAACTGAATGAAGTTCATTTTCTGAACAGTGTGATGATTTCTTAAAGATGAACTGCTAGTTTCTTTTAAGGTCATTGGCAAAAGCAATCAAAGGAGGCTGAAAGTGTTGCTTTCAAGTGTATTTATGCGCAGCTTGTATGTAAGTGATTTGGGGAGGGAGCTCCAAATAGTATTTGAAACATTTTTGTTATCAAAGCTCAATCAGAAATCTAACTTTTAACTTCCCATTTCAGAAAGCAATTTCTTCTGTTTGACGTGTGCTCTACCACTTTGAAAAGGAAGTGTGTAAATGACTAAACAAATTCATATAAGCAAATAAATTCAGAAATTCATTCTTTTTTTTTCATTACAGATCAACCTCTAGTCTTGCTTTGAAAAAGCCATTTTGTGTAACTCTTGACTGAATGATTTCCCAATACACCTGTTGGGAGGATCACTAACAGAGTATGCCATTTGAGAGGTACTTTTTCTTGACCACCTACTGGTGATTAGAGAAGAGAGGTGTTTTGTCTTTCTGGTTTTTTTTTCCCCTGATCATTATGAACACTGGCTTTACACCCCTGAAGTAAAAATGTTGAAAACCGAGTCTTCAGGTGAACGAACCACTCTCAGAAGTGCCTCTCCTCACAGGAATGCATATAGAACTGAATTCCAGGCACTGAAAAGTACCTTTGACAAACCCAAGTCAGATGGGGAACAAAAATCAAAAGAAGGTGAGGGCTCCCAGCAGAGCAGGGGGAGGAAATATGGCTCCAATGTCAACAGAATTAAAAATCTATTTATGCAGATGGGTATGGAACCCAATGAGAATGCTGCAGTCATTGCCAAAACAAGGGGGAAAGGTCGACCTTCATCCCCTCAGAGAAGAATGAGGCCCAAAGAATTTCTGGAGAAAACAGATGGCTCGGTTGTTAAATTGGAGTCCTCTGTTTCAGAACGAATTAGTAGATTTGACACAATGTACGATGGTCCTTCCTATTCGAAGTTCACAGAGACGCGGAAGATGTTTGAGAGAAGTGTGCATGAGTCAGGACAAAACAACCGCTATTCCCCAAAGAAAGAGAAAGCCGGAGGGAGTGAGCTTCAGGATGAGTGGGGTGGTACCAAGTCCAACAGAGGCAGTACCGATTCCTTAGACAGCCTTAGCTCCCGGACCGAGGCTGTCTCCCCGACTGTGAGTCAACTGAGTGCAGTATTTGAGAACACCGACTCCCCCGGTGCCATCGTTTCAGAGAAGACTGAGAACAAGGAATACTCAGTGACTGGGCATTATCCCCTGAATTTACCATCGGTTACTGTTACGAATCTTGACACCTTTGGTCACCTTAAGGATTCTAACGCTTGGTCTCCTCCAATCAAACACAATGATGATACTGAGGATGCTCAGAGGAGTAATACAACTCCAGTACCAGAAGTGGCTTCGAAAAGTGTATCTGTAGTTTCTGTGCCTAGTGAAGAAACACAGCTGAGCAAGGAAGCCGAGGGCTTCACATGTAACCAAGAGACTCCTGACAGAATTGACAAAGACATCCCTGAAAATAAGACAATGCCAGAGTCTGATATTCCGTCACCACAAAATGATCCTTTAGAAGATGCTGAAGCTAATTTGGTTGGACGTGAGGCAGCAATGCAACAGAAGGAAGAGCTTGCAGGTGGTGATTTTATCTCTACTGCTGCTTCTGGAGCCAGTTGTGGAAAGGAAGTACCCGAAGATTCAAGTAATTTTGAGAGTTCCCATGTTTACATGCAGAGTGACTATAATGTATATAGGGTCAGATCCAGGTATAATTCAGACTGGGGAGAGACAGGCACTGAACAGGATGAGCAGGAAGATAGTGATGAAAACAATTACTATCAACCGGATATGGAATACTCAGAAATTGTTGGATTGCCAGAGGAAGAAGACATCCCAGCAAATAGGAAAATTAAGTTTAGTAGTGCTCCAATTAAGGTAAGTATGCTTTTGAAGTTTTTTCTAAATTTGTTTTTAGTATTTGGGCCTAACTGTGTGCAAAATACATTTGACAACTTATAGTTGATTTAAAAAGGTTGGAGTTTGAGAGATAACCGTCCTGTTCCTTAATGTGCTTTAAAGTTGCATCAACCACTATTGAAAAAGTTCAGTGATTGTGAGATACATTCGAATGGACTGGAGTAGGAATAATCTGAACACTGAAAAGGAGATACTGAATATCTTCTTTCATTAGTTTTATCTAAAATTCCCATACATAATAAAACTTTCTGATTGTAGACATAGGATATGACTTATAATGTACAATGGGAGAGTTATGGTAACCTGGAAATAATATTTTTTATTCATTTGCTTATAGAAATCTGAGTTATCCCTTACTTAAATGTAAGTGGGTTGAGAGGATTCTTGGAACTTTTCCTTTTGTATTGTTACTTGGTAGTGAAAGTTTGATTCATGGAAATGTATTAGCGGACTTAAATACTATAATTGGAAAGCTATCACTGTAAATAGCTTTGAGTTCAGAATTTGTTATGTAGTTTTAAAATGAAATCTTGCGCAACGAAGGAAAATTGATTTGCCATTCCTGGATTTATTTTTACCTCATCAAAACTGGATAAAAGCCAATTGAATTTGATACACTATTCTAATGACTTGACTTTTAACATTAGGCATAAAAGAATAACAAAGTACATTAGCAGCGGGTGGTGAAACATTATTAGCTGATAATGGTAATAGGGACAGGAGGGGGCTGGTTGAACATCAGAATTTCCTGGAGTGTTTTTTCAAAGTTTACTTGCCTACCCAGCTCAGTCCTTAGATTCCGGAATGCTCTTCTGAGGGAATCTGGAGGGTTGTGGTGGCAGAATGTGTTGAAAACCCCTTTCTGGGCTGGGGGCTTCTAGCTTACACAGTGTAAGTATGATGGATTTGGAATTTGAGATGGGATCTTTTAAAATTATCCCCTCCGAAATCTAAAATCACTCTTTATTATTTCCAGCTTTTGTAACTTCCATATAAGATTGTAAGATTTATAATTCTTATAAATATGGCAAAGAGAAATTTTGATACACTCCATAGCAAAGAGAACTCTGATCTTACTTTATGATATACTATTTTGAAATGAAATAATAACCTGTGAAATTATTTGTAGGTGTTAGCCGGCAAACTTTCCTTCATTGGAGTAAGGCAAAAAGTTCTGGATCAGAATGGACCATGTCAGTTAAACTCTGTTTAAAATAGAATGGCGAATCTAGTTTCTAAATAAGCCAGGTTTCTTTCCTGTGTTTCACTACTTTCCTTGTTTATTCTCTCTGCTATCCCCAATTCCAGCACCCTCTTTAGAGGTGCTCATCCTCCGGCTTACTCATTGAGCTCCTAACTTTCATCTTCCTTGTTCTGTTTGGAAATGCTTCCTTTTGAGCATCCTCTTTATGCTCCTTTAGGAAGAAAGCAGTAAGATTAAATTGTTTCACATTGAGCAAGGCAGGAATAACAGAGACGAACTCTCTGAGGAGTTTGTTAAACTCAGTGACTGACTCCCTAATAGGAGAATAGCAGCTCAGGAAAATTTGTCAAGTAGAACACCAAATGGGGCCCCAGCCTTGTATTTGGATCCTATGCTGCACAAAATGTAACCACACAGTAATAGGTTTAATGGATTTAAAGGATTTATCATTGAACTATGGCTGTTCATATGTAAACAGACTTTCTGGGTACCATCTTTGGGATTCGTGTGTTTCCCCCCCCCCCCACCTATTTGCTAGAGACTATTTCATATAGCAAAGAAAGAAATAGAGTACATACATTTAAATCACACCAAGAGTAGATCAAACATAAGATTTGTGAAACCGAAAGATAATGCATTGCGTTTTCTTGGGCAGTTAACAGAACTTGTTGGAGTGGATTAAGTTTGCAAACAGAAGATTCATTCTTAGCCCTTGGTAATGAGTAAGACAATTACTCTTTCTTGTTGTTCTCATTGTTTAACATGTAAGTGGATTCACTTGGAAATTTGAGAGCTACTTTTCTACTGGTGGTGGTGTTTGGATTATTCTCCACTTAAGATTTTGCTCAGAGCGTGGGAATCCTTAACTAAATTCAGAAGTATTTATTGAAGGCTTATCCCAGGTCTTGTCTTTTGGTGTTAGCTGCAGAAAAATAGAAAAATCTGTAAGAATCCTGCTTTTTTCTGTGAACTTGTAGAATCAGTCCATAAACACTTGGTATTTAAAACCCTTGTAATGCAATTTAAAAGCCTGTGCCAAAATGTCTAATGTCCTATGAGTACTTTAACTGTAGTTGTCTGTACTGTGTAGAGTGAATGGGATATCATGGATCATATATGTGTTTCCTTATTCTCTTCATAAAGCTTTATTTATGGAATGGGAAGTTCTGCTTTCTACCCTAAATCTTTTCCTTTGAAATTTAAATATACTCCGTCTTTCAGAAGCAACAGGGAATGTATTTCTTACAGGAATGATCTTTGAAACTTTTACATTCTTTTCCTGATAGTCTCATTCTTCACTAGGATATTCTCAGCATCTAGTCTTTTATTTAAGATCTTGGTTTTGATTTCTCTGTGTAATGTTGTTCTCAGTTTATATTTTAATTGTTCTGTAGATGTTTTAAATAGAGATTTTCTGAAGATGCCTTAAACCTGGACCTAGAAAACTTCAAAATAATAGCTGATCTCTTTTGTGTAGCATGTTCCTTACACATAATTGTTGGTGACTTTTGGAAGTGGTTGGATTGTATTGCTGACTGGCATTTAGTATGACTTCCTTATTTTTTCAGGACACAGTTGTTTCTTGATGCACAGGTTGATGTAGGTCATAGGCTTGAATGTAAAACATTAGAAAGGAATTAATAATAGCAAATATAAATTCCAATGTTGAGATAGGGAGTGAGGTAGTGTTATGAGCCATACTCATGTGGAATTATGTCTTCATTCTCAGGAATTTCTCAAAACCTGAGGGATTGAATTAATTAAATATGTTTCAGATACATTAAGGAAAGGATGACATTTTCGTTGTTTTTTTCTTAACTAAGAACATTTACTTAGCCCTTACTCAGGAGCAATGCAAATGTAATAAATATGTAAAATGACAAGCCGATTAAGCCAGCAATTACTGGGGAGTGGGATCATATACAGTCCATTAAGGAACCATCTTAGGCTATTCTGCTTAATTCTGATCTGGGATGATATTTCTAAAGTCACAGCAACCCCGTTAAGGAAGTGATACCCTTTTGTCCTTTGGATTGTTGTTCTTGAAACATGGCATATCTGAAAAAGGAGATTTTCCCAACTCCCACAAGGAAGGATATTACAGGGTTAAAGCTGAGGTGAATTGTGCTATACTTTTCTGAGCTTTCATCAAACTATATGAACTTTGTAAAGCTGGGGTGCAAAGGAAAAGCCCCAAGGGTAGCAGTGCTTCTCCAAACCTTACATGATAGTTGTTGAAAAAGGATCCTTTAACATTCTCTCCCTTTCTTGGGACTGAGTTCTTGTCAGGAGGTACTGGAGGCCTTTTTCTACAGGATGTTATTTAGAGCATGGTTCTTCTGAGATCCAAGTTTCTGTCTTTGTGGCGCTTTCTCTTTCTTCCTAGCCTTCCTGCTCAGCACTGCTTAAAGGTTAATATGAATATGAATCATGAGGGATCTTTTAAAATGCAGATTTCTGATTCATTAGGTTTTATGGGAAATTCCCTTTTCCTTGTAGTTAGCCTGCAAGTACACTACCAGGTAAACTATCCCAGAGATTATGGAATCCATAGGCTGAGCAATTTTGAATGCTTGAATCACATAATTTTTGAAATCAATTTACAGTAGACAGCCATAGGCAAGAGCAAGCCGTGGGTAAGTTAACACAGTTAAGATAAGGTACAAATAAGGTTGGAAGGACCACCATGCTGAGTCCTGGGTACTCATTGTTCATGTGCCCCGTCCCTGTCTCTTCATATCAGCTTATCCCCATTGGTGGTGTGGTTATGGGGACTGGAGCTGATAATTGAGCAAAGACTCTCCAAGATAAAGGTGCCCAGGGCCGATGATACTTGCAGTAGGGAAGAGAGTGAGGGCAAGTGCATTTAGATACAGCTGTAGCCTTACCAGTTTGCCTGCTGAGAAGCCATGGGTCTTATTTGTGTTTTTTGGGTAGAACACCTGTGGGTCCAGAGTAGAACCATGTCGGGTGTCCTAAGTGAGTGGCTGATACGGAGATGACGCAGCTGTCAGCCCAGAGATGGCATGGTGATGGCTTGGTCATTCCACCATTTCTACTTACCAGTAAACCTCTGTTTAACAGATTTTCTATTTTGAAAAGTCTTATAGGTTATGAACTTACCTATTTTTAGCACACCCTGTGGACTTTGCCTTTGTTTTACAAACTATCACTGTACTTAATCCAGCTTAGATTCATTATTTACCGCCAGTGCTTATCCCTTCTTATGCATTTCTTCAATTCCATTTATTTTCTTGACTTACAGAATAGAATTTAATATTCTTTAATAATAAAGTGACATCAGAAAACGTTAAGTCTGGGGTGATTTTTTTTTCTTTTAAGATTTATTTATTTATTTATACAAGCACTGGGTACAGTCAGAAGCATGGGAGGGTGAGAGAATTCACCAGAGCCAAAGCGGAGAGCAGAACAGGCAGACTGACGAAGTACACTGCTGAAGGGAGCAGTGGGCGACAGGAGAGGTCTGCGCGCCATGTGGGACCCTTGCCAGAAGCCAGGGATCGAACCGGTGCTACAGAGGCTACGGGCAGCTTCGCAACCCAGTGCTCAACCTCTGTGCCACCGGGGAGGCCTTGGGGTGATATTTTTCTAACAAGCTCTCAGGTGGTGCTGTTACTGCTGATCAGCAGACCATTATTTGGCACATGATTTTGAAGTATAATCTTTGGGCTCCTGAAAATGGCTGTGCAAAGCAGAGAAAGCCCCTTTAACAAATTTGCTTTCCTGGATCTGC